GAGAGTTTCCAGGTGGTTCGACGCCGACACCACGCCCGTGAACTGGATCGGGTTCGGAATAAAATGAAACCTCGGCATTGGTGCGATGGAAAGATGGACTGCAGGGTGACGGAGCGACGGGGAACACGGGGTGAAGCATAGGTTTCTAGCGACTGGGATAGCGACGACGCGTTCGCGCGGGTACACGTACACACGGATGCACGACGGCGTGCGCGCAGGAACGCTTAGTACCCGCTGCAGTCCGCGGAAGACAAGAGAGGTGAACGAAATGTGTGTCATACGCTCGGAGCGTGTGTGCGGAGCGCGGCCTGTGTCGTCTCATTGTCATTCGGCGTAGTGCGAATGCAACAACGTTCGTGCGGCCGGCGCGCGATGCAGCGCGTGCAACGGACAGAGACAGACAGAGGCAGCGTTAAATTCGCGAGAGAGGCGCGCAGCAACTCGACGCGACGCGACTCGACGCGACGCGACACGGTAGGACACGACAGGACAGGACAGAACAGGACAGGGACGGCGTGTCGACGCGACACACGAGCACGAACGTGACCGATCGGTAGCGTCGTCTCGACGCCGCCGCCGGCCACCGATGCGCGCCTTTGCAATACGGACTAACCGATCCCGACTTTTTGCATTCTCATGAGACGCTCCTGATCGTCCAATTTGAGAGACAATGGCCTAGTTCCCGGGCCGCGCGCGCGCGCGCGCCATCGCACGATTCCCCACGGTCGCCGATCGAAGAAAGTTGTTGCGTTCGGTTGCTCGATTATCGTCGTATCGTTTCAGTATTTAGGTTCCGAGCTAAATAAGTAATTCGGTAGTGGCGAATAAATTTCGCGGTATTTTTGCCTCGCTTTCTCCCTCCCTTTGCGTGGCGACCGCTCGTTATCGGCGAGGAATTCCTCTGGTTCGTGTTTTATCGCGTCCGCGCGACTCGCCGCTGGTCGTCGTGCCGAACGGGAAATATTTTCCGCGTGAAATCAGCCAGAGTTTCTCGCTGTGTCTTCCCGAAGACGATCGTACGCGGTAACGCTTTCGTGGAGTAAGTGCGCGCGGCTGTTTCGTTCGGTATGCTAAATTGATTTCACTCGGTTAGAAATTCTATTTCCGAGTGCCTGCGCGCGCGGTCGATGCAGAATCGAGAAGAACCGCACGGTCGAACGAGAAAATACGACTAGTCATTTGAAATCGGCCAGAAAGGATTCCTGGATTTCACTTTTTCGCGAGCTTTCCGGACGAATATCATCATCCTGCCGCTTTATCTTGGTCAGCCTTCCGTGCACCGTGAAAACCGTTCTTGCTTTCACGCGTGCGATTCGCTGCCATAGTTCTTCCGTTCACGCGCCGAGCCTATTTAGCGCGCGTGATCAGCGCGACTGTTACGCGCGCGCGTGTATACACACCGGCATGCCAGCGGTCTCCACCGTTCGATGCTCGGATTCTAAACCGGCAAAACATCGGGAAAATAAACACTCGCGAGCCTCTACCGTTGCTTGTCCCGTCTATCGGGTTGGTCGGCTTAACTTCTTCCAGCCTGGCGGTCTTACACGCGAGCGGGCTATTTCTAACCGTCAATCAGAAATCGACTTAATGACCACGCTTGTAACCTCGTAATAGATCAACCAGCCCCGAGAATTCATATGGCTGATGATTGCTATTCCAGCGGAAAATCAACCGGCCATTTTCTATTCCTGGATAGTGGATTCGTATTTATAGATGCCGCCGTGGACTCTCGCGGATATTTATAGATCCCTGGATCGCGTTGCTCTCATTGACCATCGAGTCCGGTAGGCGGATAGGAAAGCTGCTGGCGTGGACCGTTCCGGAAGACTCGCAGGAGAAAAAGGAGCTACTTGCATGCCGGTCGCATCTGGAGCAGCTCTAGAGACGCTTCGACACGTAAAACCGCAGCGGTGGTATCGGCAGTCGGAAGATTCATCGTGGCTATCCTTCCACTATTTCGTCTTTACGATCATTTCGTGTTTCCCCTATCCTGTCCATTACGGGGCATTTTCATCGCCGACTAGATGATGGGCGGACACGTAGCATCGCGTAGGAACACCTGTGCTATACACGGGCGGCGGAATAAAAGGTAAAATGGCACAACCTTGAGCTCGGCGACAGAAGTCATCCTGTTCTTGGGTTCGTTCCACGCGCTCGCCTCGCGAACGTACAAAGGTATGATCTATTGCGAAAATGATTTACCTGTTCGGTATGTAAATCAACCGTGTAACGATGCATGCTACGTAAAATATCACCGGCTGAAGATCACCGTGATGCTCGGGGGAGAGGAATGCAGACGAAAATACGAGTCTTTCGCGAATCGAGTATACCTAATCGCGAGTAGATGTTCCCGTATCTCTCTCTCTCTCCCTCTCTTCCATATCTCGAACCGAAGCGAGTTGGCAGATTACCTACGGTCAATTGCACGGCAATTTTTCGGCCGAGTCGAGCGTGTAATTCGCGAAGATCGCGAGACGGTGACAGTGTGGCGACTTGGTCGTTGCGTGCGCTATCACACGAAAGTGTTTTCTATTTCTGGCGGTTCTCGGTTATTTATAGACAGTGGTCGGTCGCTTCTATTAGACTGCGTGCTCGGTGCGCGCCATGCGGCGTGTAACCAGCCTAGGAAAGCGAGATCTTACGTGAAAGCCGTTAAGGCCGTTTTCAAGCTGGCGCCCGGAGAGAAACCGAGATCACCGAGGATCCACCAACGCCGCTTAGCTAAAGGTCGTGGAAATGTCAACAAACGAGCTTCGGCAAGGACGTTGCATATCGTATGCCGCGATATCCCGACTGCGATTACGCGTTTTCACGAGCAATCGCGAGCGAGGAATTCGCCTCGGCAGAATTCGCCTTGCGTCACCACGTTTTATTAATACTCCCGACGGTGATCGACGAGCCATAAATCGCTAAATTTCTGTCCAACAACTACGCGTTTATCACCTCTTTTTCTCTCCCTTTTTCCTCCTTTATTCGTATCTCAAAGTCCATCTTTCCTTCCTGCACTTCCGCTCGTATCGCGCCGTACCCGTTTCCGCGTAACCGGTGTAAATCCCGGCCGATATTCCGAGCGGAGAAACGGATTTTGCTCGTGATTGTACTCTCGAGCATCACGTGCTCTTCCATACGGAGTATATCGATAGTCATACTTGCTCTTCGTGGCCATGCCCCGATACCGTTCAACGGATACTTATTTAATCGAACGATTCCACCAGCTCGCTGTCCCGTTCCGAGAACTCGCAAGGTGTTTGGACTTACCAGCAATCGGACGAGCCTGTCTTTAACCGTACGAATGATCCGTGGAACGTCATCGAAGATTTACATAAGGATCATTGTATAACATTTAATTTAACGCGGTCTGCTCGGTGCGAGCGTTGATGTCACCGGGTTCCGAGGAAACTTGTGCAACGAATCCGGTGGTTTTCCCGAACGGGAATTGAGTCGTTCATCGTTGGTAAATACGGTTTAGAGTATTGACAAATTAACGAGAAAACTTGCGGTTTTTTTTAAGGCTATTTTTTCTTCGATTTTTCGTTGCCGTTTGCTTCCACGAACGAATATCTATACTGCCGCGGTCAGGTGAATCGGTATTTAGGTAATAATAGAATCGGATTGCGCACGATAAACGTGGCACGACATAGGGGTATTGAGGTACTACCGTTTCATTTGGACGCGAGCGACAACTGGAACGAAAATCCTATGGCAGCGGAGAACAGAACAGCGTGGCGATATTCCACGTAACGCGCGCGTCGTTACGGCTAAAATCAATGTATCGACGACCTTATTTCCTTAAAACGCACGAGCAAGCGTTGACCGAGCACCATTTCTGTGCTAGCGGGTTTTACGTGCTCCGCTACTGTGATTCATATAACCGTACGTTCTGAGGGAAAAAAAAAATCAGGACAATTTCTGTCTCGTCGCGTACCAGCCTGCTGCTCTGCGGCCGTCTAACGTGTCTATCGTGGAGATTACGAATCGATCGAATTACGAAAAGCGAGAAAATGGAGAGGAAAAAATAATTAAATTAGACGAATAAAGAAATAAAACGAAGAGGAAGAAGAGAAGATGGGAGACGGAGCAACGATGAGAAAATCGGCAATGTTATTATCGGTTTTGCATATTTTTCGCACGTGCGTTTACAGAATCCTTGCTCAAGGACTCGACTGTGCTCCCCTCCTGCTCCCCCTATGCAGCCGGGCTCTAAATCGAGAACACGATACATCGAGTCGAAAGTTAAACGTTGCACAACGATCCACCGGTCGCAATATCGCAATATCTTCGTCTTACATGGCACGCCGACTATGTAAACTGTCTAGAAGCGTGTGCTCCAGTATCTTGGAACGCTCGGCTCGGGCGCACGCGTGTCGAAAGTTTCGCTGGACTAGCTATTTTCTTACGAATTCCGCTCAAAATCCGAATCACGAATCGCGGCAATTTTGCAAGTCCCGCCTCGTTACGGAACGTCTGGTCGCCTACGTACCGGGAGAGACTCCACGGTGTATCCGAATTTGGCCGAGGAGGCCCCCAGTCGAGCAGGTCGTCGTCTACTGCTCTCGTGGTCAGCGTGAAATTAATCCACCGTAAGGAAAGTGAGAGCACCACCTTTTCGATGTTCCGTGCAGCGAGAACCGTCCGTAACCTACCGTGCCGCGACGTTTCCTACCGTTCCGAGCTGCGAGGCGGATAACGTCGCGACAAAGAGCGCGACGGAGTCGATGAAGGGACAAAGTGCAGATAGCGCGAGCAGCGGTGTTCCAACGATCGGAATAGAGAAGAAAAGCAGACGAAAAACTGCCAAACACCACGACAACTAGCCGAACTTGTTGCTAAGGCCTCGTAACGCGCGCCAGATCTGTTCAACCTGTCACACTGTCACGAAAACCGCGATCCGTGCCCACGCGCCGTAGGTAAATCGCGAAAATTCGATTAGACGGAATCGGATCTCGGACAGAGGATCGAACGGAACGTTCGGAGAAATGAAATCGGTATCGTGAACTCACTTGACCAGGATCCTCCAGAAGCAGCCGAAGCTGGAGCCGTTTGGCACTTCGCTCGCGTACGATATAGTCATTTCCTGCCTGACCAGGTGTACACCGTCCCTGTCGCGTTTCTATCTTCTTCCTCTGTTTCGGCTCCCTCCGCTACTTCTTCCTATCGTTCGGTTTAGTTGGTACCTCGCACCGTGTCGTTGGTGTTTCCGGTGGAGAAGCTGTACACTCGCGCACATGCGGCGCGCGGGCCGCCGTTTCTTTCTTCGATCCTTGATGATCGAGGCTCTATTACCGGGTTCTATCAGGTGTTTCAGGTTAGGCTTACCATCAGGAAGCTTCTAACACGATTAGACGGAACCAGCTGACCGGACGGACCGACTGTCTGCTGACTGAGCTCCACTGACAGACGACAGGACCAACAGAGAACGGGGCCCGGCTACCACCTCCACCTGGGCCTCAGTGCCGTGTGCACGTGTTCGATAACCTTGCTCCTTTGCCGATCGTTCCGTACGTGTTGGCCGAGAATACTTTTTCTCTCTCGCATTTCGTTCTTTCGTCCTATGTTTCTCTTCTCTTTTATTCTCCTCTCCTTTTATCCAACGATCGCTCTCGATAGCGTTAATGGCGAATCACGTCCCTGGAAACTCGTCTCGTTATGCGCGATAATCGGTGATCGCGGGAAGATTCGTATTTTCGAAAGACCCCTCGCTAGGTTCAGATTCGTGGGATTTTTCCGTATTCCATTGTCAAGCGAGCCACTCGCGAGGTTTATTAATTACGAATTCCGTGCCCGGTTTGCGGAGTAAACGGATTGCCGTTTGTAAAATATTTCCCTTGCTAATTGCGATTCCCGGAGACGCGTCGAGGTCCCGAGACACGCGTTTACACCGAAACGATCGCAGGAATTTCTATTGGTCGACAAAAGGATTCGCGCGCGCGTTACGACACGATTCACGAAGAATTCTTTAAAAATCAATGACACGCCTCGCCTTTCAAATGGATCTGCTTTCGAACCAAGTAAAAGGAGAGCGTTTCTGGCCTAGCGTTTGCTTCTTCGCCCGATATCAACAACACTGGCAATTTCCACCATAAGCCTGGTAGCCTCTTGCGCTTTTAAATCAGCCTAACTCGCGTTAATCTCTTTTATATTTTTCCTCCGTCCCCCTTCGAATTCGGGGAACTACCTCGCGCAAGCGCGATTGCCGGAATTCTCGATAATCGCGAAATTCTCCAGATTGCCGGCGGATTTTGCAACTGATCGTGTTGTACATTTCGTTCCGCGAACTTTCAACGCCAGAGGAGCAAAGTTGTTCGAAAAACAGCGCTATTCCTACGGCACTGTTGACGTTCGAATGCCATAACATCGCGGCTAGTGTGGCGCTGGCTTTACGCGACCACTCCGGCCCGCCATCTCGCGGTACGTCCGAGTACTGTTCTGTCACCTTGCCGTGGCCTAGCCTGCGGCGGAACCGCGACCTTCTGGTACCATCCACCGGTCACCTATCGCCTTTTTTACTCGCGCACCATGGGAACGCATCCATCCACGTAACTTTTCGCTGCTCCCGTACAGTGTTACCTTCCAATTCCAGCGGAAGTGGGCTTCTGGATACGGCTATGAGGAAACTACGGACGAATTTTTCCCCGAGGAAACGTGCTTTCGGGGAACGTCGATGACTAGTTAAATGCAGTGACATTTGTATATAAATTTGACCGAATCTTTTGGAACTACTGCGGAGATCAACGCGAATAGGTCATTGACGTCATCGGCTCTTCGAAACCGACACTCATGATTCACAGGTGAAAAGAAAAAGACGCGGCCAGACGCGGGCTTCGTCATTGCACGTGTCCGCCTCGTGCTTTGAAACAGGCTTCGATCGCAACAGTGTCGATTCGGGGAAGTAACCGATGTTTCTTTCTATTTATTCTTTTTCCTTTTCCTTTTCCCTTCCGTTGCAAGAACAGAGGAGAGTTAATCGAGCAAACGCGTAATATTCGGGCACGAGCGGGTACCATGAGACGCGATATATTTAACGACACTTTTTACAAAAGAACCCACACAATTGAACGATACAATTTTTTCAAAGAACATTTCGATCGATCACGTTTTGATTTCCTTTTGAACGTTGTAGACGACGTTCGCCGATGTTTGGAACAGTTTCTTCTCGAACTCTGTGATGCGCATCCGCACGATGTTCGTGATGCCGTTCTCGCCGAGGGTGCAGGGCAGGGACAGGAAGATCTCGTGACAGACCTCGTGGTGACCCTGCGGAAACAAGTTTAATCAAAGTCGCGTCGAAATGCGGATACAAAAGTTGGGAATAAAGCTGAAAATATAGGCGAAAATCGTCATCGATGTTTGGTACTTGGATCATGGTCGAAACCGGAATAACCCTCTGCGAATTCTTCAGAATGGCCGACACGATGTCGCCAACCGATAGACCAACTGCCGTGTTGGAGTAGCCTTTCAGACATCTCACAGTGGGACCACTGAAACGCGAAGAAGGAAGTCTTTATATCGTCGATCCGTTGGACGAACAATCTAGACCAACTGCCGTGTTGGAGTAGCCTTTCAGACATCTCACAGTGGGACCACTGAAACGCGAAGGAGGAAGTCTTTAAGTCTTTATATCGTCGATCCGTTGGACGAACAGTTCCTTTGTCGTCTTCATAAGACTCACAGCCTGATCACTTCCTTGGAAATCTCGAACCATCTCTCCTCGTCGGTCTCCAGGCCGATATTAGGCAGGATGTCGCGAAATTGCACGCCCGCGACATTCACGCCAGACCAGAGTGGAACTAGGAAACGTTAAACGGATTTAATCAGACGCGATACGTAACGTTTGCTTTCTCCTGCGCGCGAAATGTAAGAAATTGGATCACGTAGAGTACGCGTCGAATTGGACGCAAATTCGAGCGATTTCCAACTCACCCTGACTGTCCCCGTGTTCGCCGACGATGTACGCGTGAACCGAGCTCGGAGCTATTCCTAGACGATCGGCGATTAAGTAACGAAACCTTGCTGAATCGAGATGAGTTCCACTTCCGATTACTCGGCTCGCTGGTAATCCGCTCACTTTCCACGCTACCCACGACAAAACGTCAACTGAAAGTAAAAGTTCCGTTTCTACTAGCGGCTCAACGTGATTCCCAGCCTATTGTCTCCTTTCACGCGAACGAATCCAAAGTCTCTTTCCTCTCTCTTTTCCCTCTTTTCGTTCAATTAACACTCGACCTGGGTTACTGACGATCAGGAACACAGCGTTGGGACTGTAACCAACGAGAGTCGGTATTATGTTCTTCAATATCTCCGAATTTCGTTGCACCAGCTCCAGCCGGGATTCGCCCCTGCCTTGCCTCACGCCGGCTGCAATCACGATCACCTTCGAGTTGCTGGTGATACAGAAGTCTGAAACAACGTGCCCCTTGTTCCCATATCCGCGTAACCATTCGCCAGGAACTTTCTTCGAAGTTATTCGATATTCGGTGAAACTGTTTCTAAAATAAGCTTCGTTACCTGTGTCGTATTCTATGCGTGGATCATCTAAAAATACCGAGCCGTGGCTGTAATCCATTCCCTCCCCTTCCAGCTTCTTCGGGAATGCATCCACCATAGCGAGATGCGCGGTGATGTTCTACGATGAGGCAACGGAAAAATTACGTCAATGTCCACCGGACTAACGTCACTTTCCATAATCGACCACACGTGCATGCGCGAGGACATTTTTCCAGGACTTCTATTCCTGGATCTCGTCGGCGCGGATTTTCACGCGCGGCACGCGTGCAACTTTCACTCGCGTGTTCGAAATCAACCACGCGCGCTTCTCGAACCTTCGAGACGTGTCTCTGTTCAAAGGCCGAGGGATGAAAAATAAGGTGCCGCGTTGTACCTGCAAGAGAAGCGAGTTCGCGATGGCCACGCCGACCATGCCGGACCCCACGATCGTCACCTTGTGACAGCAGTCTCGCACCGGTTCCGAAAACTTGCACAGCAGCTCTTCCTTCAAACATAGTGGTCTGGAACGAGAAGTTGTCATTTTACCGTAACACTGGTACACTTTTTTCCGCTACCATATTCACGGTCGCATTCGTTCAGTTACGACATATGAAATGCTCGCCGCTTCGAGTTCAACGGACGTCCGCGTCCTTTCAGCGCCATTTCGTTTATCACGAGATCGACTTTCCTCCGTCCGATCCGTTCGACATTCCTCTCTTTTCACGTCGCTCGATTAGTAGAAATTCCTTGGTCGAAACCTGACCAGGAACCCATTGTACCAGTTTGGCGTGTCGGCAGACGGAAGGAATGCGAGTCTAATTGGCCATAGCGAAATAAATCCACCTTCTCGAGGTAGTAAAGATAGAATTTTCGTTATCGGCTACGATTTTATTGCATCCCGTGGCAAAGAGAGTGGAATGAAATCGAGCGATAGCGATATCGAGCGGTGGGCACACAGGATTATTTCACGGGCGATCAGGATAGAATCGAGGTAACGTTCGAGAAGGTAAACGCTGTAAAAGGTAGCAAGATAAAATTGAGATAAAAGAAGAAAGCCTGGAAATATAAACTCCGAAGGGATCGAAGACGGGGTTAGCCAGAGTTTCTCTTACCTCTGAGCCGAACCGATAACTCGTCAGACGTGCATTTCATACGCGAGAACCCAACGTTTATCCAGTGCCCGAGCGGTCAGTGGATAAGCACGATAGATCCTGATGGATGTACGAGTACAAAAGACGGGCCGCTTACACGAAACTGACCGCTCTCTGTAAGTCAGATCCAGCGGTGGCGTCTTTGCCGAAATCAGCGGACGCGAATTTGTTCGACTTGCCCCCGGCGAAGATGTCCTTGAGTATAGTTGGCGGTAGCCTGCGACGCGTGTGTCTAGTTGCAAAGCTTCTTCTCGATATCAGAGATATGGTGCATTTCAGACATGTCGGCAGCGACGAAATCGACAGCATGCGCGACAGAACCATTGCTCCCGTCACCCGATGATTTTGTTTAATTGCCGTTGTTCCTTTCTCGTGCAAAATGTCACATCGCACACGATTGATTGACGTTTCGCGGAAAAGAAGGCGCTGGCGAGCATAACGCCTCTAGTGAATCGCCATTGCGTCGGTTTGCCAATTGTTAAACAATCCATGGTTACAGGCATCCGATGGCATTGGACGCAACATTTACGACGGATTAATATCGCGATCGCGAATGACGTTAACACTTTGACTGATACTTTGCGCATATATAACCGGCCACGGTTTCTCCTGTGACGCCACGGTGGTCATTGATGACCGGAGCGCTTGAACTACTCGTAAAACTACAATTGTAAAAATTGAATGAAAATTGACAGTTGGTGCATTTGGAATATAACCGCTAATTAGAAGATACTTTGAAATAAAAAGTGCCCCATTGAATAGTCAAAAATTTTTATTAGAACATGAAAAACGTAGTAAAGGAAATCTTGCATCTAGCGGTGCACTCTCATGGCGTCCTGAGGGAAACATGTGATTTCAGCGTGACAGTCAAAGGGTTAACGTTTGTCTATAAGTGTGACAATTATCGGTATGACCTAGGACCTATTAAAATTTTTATTAGAACATCGATCAAGAAATATTAGAACAAATCTTGCATATAGCTGTGCACTCCCGTTGCGTCCTCAGCGAAACACGTGACTTCGGCCTGATAGTCAAAGGGTTAATTAGTAAACCGTGTTGGTAATGATTGATTGGACGAGTCGAATAATTAGTATCGATTTATTAAAACACTGGTATAAATATACAAGACAATATATGTATATATGTGGTATCTTGGGTAACTGGGAACACGTTAACGCGTGTTCTAGATTTGGTACGAAAATACAGATCAGTCGAGGAAAGCTTCGTGAGGTAGACATCGAGAATATCTCTAAATTTGCCGGGAATTTTTGGCGAACTCTTGGTAAACGGTAACGTTACGGCTGAATTTCGATTTCTACTGGAAGTTCTGACTTATCGTTTACCGTAGATGTTTCTTGTACTCTGACTTATCGATTAAGTAACTTGTCTTGCGTCGAATCTTGATCACGTATATAATATAATTATCGTATCATGGTATCGAGTCAACTGAATGCAACTTGTCGCAAATATGTGACACATTGACAACGTACAACGGTAATACTTTGTGGTCATGCGAACACACGCTTCTCTTTCTTTTTTCTTATATAAAAATTCCGCTAACTATTGAACCAACGATAACTTATATAAATAACATTTAAATATTTGCGGTAGCACCTTTAAGTATCGGCCACGTAAACCTAACGAATCGTAAATAGAGACGAAATGGTGCTTGTCAAAAGCAATACTTGGTGTGCACGAACAGGCGCGAAACTGAATTACAACATGAACGATTTCATTTATCTAAGAGAAAGTGTTATCCCAACACGCGAGACAGGTGGGATGGGTTAGAACTTCAAGTCCTTTTGCACGGCGTGCATCATGTCGGCCGAATTTTGCAGCTGGCTCGTCTCGTCGGATGTTAGCTTCTGTTGGACAACGCAGGAGACACCTTCCTCGCACAGGGTGCAGGGCAGGGACAGAAACACGTCCTTATCGATTCCGTGGTAACCCTGAAAATTATCATCGTGAAATTCGTTTCCCGATACATTCGGCGACAAAACAATTTTTTCCACCGTCTAGACGATGAGTCGTCAGCGACTCGGCCGTTTTGCAATCGGCAACGATACGACAGTCACGCGTGTCTTATGTAACGAGTACGAGTTATCGACTTACGGTAACCATGGTAGATACAGCGTGAACTTGGTTCGAGTCTCGCAATATGGCGGATGCTAGATTGGACACGCTCAAACCGATGGCCCAGGACGTGTAGCCCTTTAGCTTGATCACCTCGTACGCGCTATCGATCACCTGTTTGTGCAGCTCGCCCCAGTTCTCCATGTCCTTGTCGGTACCAACGTTCTCGTTCAGGTCCCTCAACCTCACGCCAGCAACGTTCACTCCCGACCATACCGGCACTGAATAACAAAACACCGAGTACTTTATTAGCGACTATCACCGATACGTACCTGAGTCACGCGTAGTCGACGTGAATCCGGAAAGTCATGATCTAAATTTGAATCGCGCGATAACGAGACACTTGGATTTTGCACGTGCGCTTATCGCGGATAACGATCGTTAAAAGGAAAGAATACGTACCACTCGTGTCGCCGTGCTCGCCGATAATCCAACCGTGACAGGACGTGGGTGCGACGTTCAACTTCTGCGACAAGAGGAAACGGAATCGGGCCGAATCCAGATTGGTGCCGCTTCCGATCACTCGGTTCTTCGGCAGGCCTGAGAGCTTCCATGCCACGTAGGTCAAAATGTCTACCGGGTTCGAGACGACCAAGAGGATCGCGTCTGGGCTATATTTGACCAGCTCCGGAATGATGCCTTTGAAGATATCCGTGTTCCGTTGAACCAGATCCAGCCTCGTCTCGCCTTCCCTCTGACGAGCACCGGCAGTCACCACGCATAAACTAGAGTTCGCCGTGGCTGCGTAGTCGGTGCTGGCGTTGATCTTTGCGTTCTTCAAGAACGCACTGCCGTGCTGCAGGTCCATCATCTCTCCTTTTAGCTTGTCCGCCATTACGTCCACGAGCACCAGGTCGCTCGAAACACCCTGTGAAAAGTTTTTATTCGAATTAGTAATTATTCCTCGGGGTTTTTATCGAAATTTGAAGCAGAGAAATGGGTCTTACGTTTGTTAGGATGCTGAACGCGCAAGCCATGCCGACTTGGCCTACGCCGACCACGGTGACTTTGTTCCTGCCCGTGGAAATCGGCTCCTTCACCGTGTTTAACAATTTATTTTTCAAAGATGCCATTCTTCTGCGGAAAGTAAAGCAATCTTGTTTAGTTTCAAGTACTCCGAATCTTCTTCGTCTATTTTCGAACTTTGTACAAGTAGTAGGTCGACCAAGGTCGAAAAGGTCACGGAGGACGTTTGCGCCATTACGCGAAAATTTCAATAAATTAGTTCGATATATCGATCGTAATTAAAAAATAACTTATAAATCTCGATAAATTTTCAATGTTATCCTTTTCACTCGAGTTTTTCAAAGCGAGGAGTCTCCGTGAACTTTTCGTTCCTGGAATCTGTCAAATCAACGATAAATCGGTAAAACGACGTTAGTCACGGGGGGAAAGAGGGGAAAAAAGATATCGTTAGTAACTACGTGCAGATGGGTATATTACGATACGCGAATCGGGAAGAAAATTCGCCACTATTTCCCTTAATTGAAAATTAAGAAGCGAATATCTTCCTGGTTCAGAAAGTTATCAACTTGTTTACTACATCCAATACACGTGAATGAAACGTTGATAACACAGAGCGAGTAGTACGCAAGCTCGTAAGATGACACTAGCGGTATGTCAAGCACGTGTACCGGTGTTCACGTTGTACTACGAAAGTGCAGGTTATGCGCAAATTGCAAGCAACTAATTAGTAAGAAATAAGAAAGAAACGGTAAAGAAATAGGTCTAACTACGAGGTGCAGAGAGGACAGAATATCAGAAGCCATCACCGATAGGTCACTGGAAAATCGAGGCAGCGAAATTTACTAAACCACAGCAATTGAACGTTCATTAGAGTTACTGCGTGTTGACCCCGTTTCTTCTATGGGAATGGCATCCCACGTCGCGCAACACGGTTCATCCTTATACAGCGTGTCCCGGAATACGCGAACACTCGAACGAACCGACGCGAGGGGCAATCCCGTTCGCGTGTAACTCGAATCGCGGCGATCGTAACGAATAAAACATGTTTCCACTAACCTCATGGTTGCTTTAGGAAAGAAAAACAGGAAGCAAAGAAAGAAAATGAAGCAAACACCAATGTGTATTTGGGCGGTTTACCAACGGGTCCGTACGCGTCCGACTTGTCTGACAGCTCGGAAACTTCTGTCTGCTAAGGTGACCTTGTCCCCGCTTTTTATACCTCCCATAGGCTTCGCGGCGCGGCGTGCTCGGGCTGACGAAACCGGGAACACACTCGAGTAACGTCGGACACGATAAATTCGCCTTCGTTTTTCACGGATTTCCACGTTCGGCCCGCGTGGCAAGCCCCGAACCGCTCGTACGTCGCGTGTAGTCCACGTTATTTCGAATGCAGCGGTAACCTGGCAGCCGATGCACAGCTAGGCACGTAGATCGCGACGAGATTTTCGGAATTGAAGGCAGCGCGCATGCGCGGCATGACGCAACCAGCGTTCCTTTCCGTAAGGAACAGTGTTTTATCGATCCAAGCGCCGCTTTCTTCTCGATCTCCACTGCGTTGCCAATAAAAATCAGCCTGCAGGATGTGTTTCGGTTCAGGGGGACTAAAAATACGTGCGATCGGGGTCCCGTGGAATGCTGCCTAACGCTGTATTCTTTCCACTCAGCGCCGCGTTAAATTTACCGCCACCCTTTCCGTCCAGTTTTATGGACTTTTCGAATTAAAGGTACTCCGCGCGACTCGCTCTATTTCGAGCACTCGTATTTCCAAAGCTTCGAAAGCGCGTTAAAAAATATCGACGAAAGAAATCGAGGAATTGTTATTAATTGGTACAATGACTCGTTACACCGTGATTCATCCTACAAGAATTTCGTTCGAATCCTTCATTTTTCCGCCACTCCGATTATCACCGGTTTTGCGTTTTGACCTTACTAACAGCGTATCGACGAAACGAAATTTTGTTCGATGCTTATCGCACGGCAGAGTAGACATCGCTGCTAGTTTTTTCGTGCTTTTTTCATCGAGTAATCTCCCCGAGCAATGCCATAGATACATTATCAGACGTGCATTTCACGTGCACGTCCGCGAGCTTCCTGGAAAACACATGACCGTGGCTCGCCTGAATCATATTCAGGAATACAGCGAGAAATGACGTAACGAATCTTCACACGCTCGTAACTCCGTGTTCTACGCGAGCGTGAGCACCTAACCGGATCTTCCTTCTCCGTTGCTCCTGTATCCCTACTAGACTCGTCCTGCTCTACAGCCTAGACGAATACCCGAGTTCCCGCAATGGATGAACGCGAGAGACGACACGCTCGTCCGATTCCTCGAACTTGATGCAACCTCGTTGAAATTATTTCAACAGTCACGCGCACGTGCTGGCCGAAAAAGATACTTCTGCCAGTCGTTTGCGTTTCCTAGTTTGTTTACATCAAGCCGCTTTCGATGGTGGATCCTCGATTGCTCCGGGAACGATTACGGTTTACCGTAATCTAATCGGACAGAGACGGGATGAAAGGTTACTACATTTCACGAAGAAGATATTGCGTTTTTGCAATTGCCCTTTACACGCTTGCCATCAACTTGGCCCGCGGAAAAAATGCCCGCGGATGAAATTGACGTGCCTCGAGTAACGGCGCCGTAATTATGACCATTTGCATCGCTCTAGCCTCGCGTTCCTTGAAAATACAGAGAAGATCGGAGAGAGAGGTTAGCTTTTCGCGATCGTGCAACTTCTGCTTTTACCGGTTGAAAGTCAAATTGAACGGCAACGCGTAATCGCCGTGTCATCGCCATTGCGTCATTTTCGCACCGGGTGTAATTATCGAGTTAAACGACACAGAACGGAAGTCTGGAAGTTGGCATAACTGTTAAACAGAGGAACGCGACTGTTCCGTGTCTGCACGTGCGCGTATTATTTCGAAAGCTGCCTGTAATTTCCGACTCGACGAGTTTCGTAGAATCGAATCCGCGTTAATGAGATCTCTCGACGAGAATCTCGGCAAAAATTGCCACCGTGATTAGAAATTATATTCCTGTTATTAAACTCGCGTTTGCGGAAGGATTAGAGCCGGTGAAAGTATCTTTCGCTGAGAATTCTGGCATTTTTAGCTTCTCCAATTTTCCGGTGCGCTTTAATCCGAATAATTATCAGCTAATGATTTTTCAAACTGGTCATGCTCGTATATCAATATCAAAGAGTTATATCAAGGAGTACAATTTTGCGTCCGGTGATGTTTATCGATTTCACGAATAATTGTTAAACGGCAAAATTGATTCGCGTCGGGAACTTTCATTATCGAGGTACTAAATAACGCTTCGCGTACGGCCACGCCTTGTGAAAAATGCATGAATTATTGTGTCCATTATCGTAACGAATTATCGAGTACGTAAGGTTACTATAAAAATAAAACGAATTGATTATTGGCTATTACAGTAGAAAAATCGTCGTGTGGCATTGGTAATAATCGTGATTCTTCGCTCGACCTTGCGAAGGTAGCAAAGCTGGCTATATAAAGACCGCGGCGGTGCAGATCGGGTCATTTGCCAATTTGACAGTGGATCGAACAAAGCTTGACCGGGTTGGATTCGAAACGGCAATTTTGACTAGCTAATTGTCCCATCTGCTTCGTCTATACTTAAGAAAATACAGAACTCGTTATTAATATACAGGTAACCCTCCTATAACCCTGTAGATAGGTTCCTAGAAAATGCTGTGTTGCGTGAAACCGTGTTGTATGAGACCCAGAGCCAGTACAAAAAGGGGGTTACGTTCCGAAAACTTATTAAAAACAAATTTTATTTTAATTCTACATAAACAACTTAATTTTTATTAAAAATACGATTGTATTTACAACACAAAACAACAAAATAAAAATATTATTTTAATTTAACGCAGCTTTAATTTAATAAATTTCTTCGTCTTCACTGCTCAGTTTTTTCGGTGGAACGATACCACTTTCACTTTCAAAACTTCTTTCTTCATTTAAAGTTCTTGCATTTTCTTGCCTCTTAAATAAATCGGTAATTTCACTTTGCTTGCTGGTTCTTACCGGGTCATTGTAAATTTCTCGGTATGGAGCTAACCAGTTTTGCACTTCCCTTTTAAATTTTCGGTTTCTTTCAACGGAAGGGTCTACATTCGAGAAAAATGACTCGAGATTTTCAACTAAGCTTAGATCTTCTTGTAATTTTTTTAATGTTAAATTATTAATTGCACAATCTTCACCAGTGCTGGTATCCTCAGAATCGATTTGATTTACAGCTTCGGATGCCATTTCTATTAAATCCGCTTCGTTAAGACGGCAAGCCTCGTCGCAGCTGTAGAAGTACAGTGTTGTACAAAGCTTTTTGCAATTTTCTTATCGTGTTACAGCGAAACCGTGTTACAGGATGCCGTGTTGTAGGAAGGTTCCCGCAATTTATGAATCGTGGTATAATGAAACCGTGTTGTAGGAGGGCTACCTGTACTTTCTTCTCTATCTATTACATCAAAGGATGCAAGCATTACTCAGAGTGCTTAGGACACAGATACCCAATCCAAGTGCGCGCTTTCTGAACGAAGATAAGCTATCTAACGGAACGCAAAGAATAATTTCCACTTTCTCCCTTATCTCCCTCGCTCGTTAAATCGAACGTACTTTTACTCGCGATTATCGGTGGCCGACTGGTCGAAAAAATTGATTAGTCTACTCGCGTGCACTCGATAAATCCGTGATTTCGTAAGCCGCTTTCTCGAATCGTTATCTAGCGTCGATATGCGACGAGTTCGTTGGAATGTTCGACTTGTTCGTCGAGTCTAGGGCTGCGTGCGACCCTGAGCAACTAGGATAATGGTCCTTGTTCAGCTGGGCACAACGTGTCTCCGTGGTCAGAACTCGTGTGCTCCTGATCCATTATTGGCCGCTATTCTGTGACACAGAAGCACCGTGATGCACCTGGCTGCTGGGCCCAACTGGACCCCGGACTAGCCTCTGCAAACATCCCATGGTTTACCTTTCTTCTCGTCTAAGACGAGTCCAGGTCAGCCCTAACTCTAACTGGATTTTAGCTTCCATTCGGTTTCCTGGAATTTTTCATTTTCTCTGTTTCCTCTGAACCGTATTCTTCAAGCTCAGAAAAAATTACAGTCGTTTGGAAATTTTTTCAGATAGAATTTTCAGTGGCATCCGTGGTCGTAATTTGGAGACGAAAATTTGGGGAAAAAGGGAAATAAATCTTAACTGTACAAAGTTTAGATTATTTGTCAGTTTCCGAGGTATCAATTAACCCTTTGTACTCGAGAGGCGCCTTTCAGTCGCCATTTGATAAAATTTCGAAGCTCGATATTAATTAATATATCAAGTTTAAAATAATAACAGTTTGCGAGGTATTGAAGTTAAATAATTCTACGTATTAATTATTATACGATTTCTTATTTACTGCTCGAAAAATATCATCAGCCTTATGGCAGAAAATTTGTCAACTCGTATCCTTCTTTAGCCAAAAAATCATCGAGCGCAAAGGGTTAATAAACGAATGAATATGCTATGAAAGGGAAATATTATTTTTCAGGACACGAAATCGGATTTCCTTTTGTGAGACAAAATTTGTAATAACAGGAAATTAATAGTAAATAATGCGTTCAGTCAGCTTTAATTTCCTGCGTGCCTTCCAAGTTAGACGGTATATTTCATCATCCGGAATGCTGACAGTGGGTCAACGTACCTGAGCGCCTCTAAGGCTGGGTCCGAGTGCATAGTCACCTCCACCTGGTGTTATACCTGGCAATTAGCATCGTTTTCCAAGGAACTCTCTTTCGAAACCAATGCCAAGGTAAAAGCCACGAGTGAAACGAAATATTTTCCATTCTATCTCGGTTTGGAGATTTCCCGTCTAGATTTTGAAAATTTTTGTCGAATATCTATGAAATCTAGACTTTGAACGGAACACAGATAGCGACGTTGAACATTTGTTAACGTAGATTAAATTAGTATATAAATTTTCCTTCGCTTTCGCGTCTCGTACTCGCGATACATCCATATTTCTTTGATTCGACATAATTTTTGCGCGACGTAAGATATTTTCGCGATACGTGCATATCGAAGTATAATATATTTCCATATTATCGGAATAGCAATGAGATTTCAATGATCGTTATACCTTGAAACTTTCGTCTCTTAATGTTCCATAATTCCACGTACATGAATTTATAATACTTCGTATTACCTATTCCGCTGTTTTATTTTTAATATAGGATACATTAAGGCACGATCAGTGGGAACGTATAATATCGCTTGTACATTATAATTTAAACGATTTCTTAGAAATCTCATTCGCTAA